ATTGCAGACGAAGAGACCTCAACACCAGGACTGCGCTTCAGCACAAACACGTGCATGGCTCTTAACCTCCCCTGCGCGTCTTCCTCTCCGACCCGTCCACAACATCAAGCTGACTTACCCTCTTGAGAAGACCGGCTTGCTCAAAGTGCTGCGAAGCATCCAAGCGGGTGAATTAGGTGGATACAACAAATACACGTGTGTGTGTGTGCAAGATCTTCATGAGAATGGGGTGAAAGCCGGACACAAACATGCTCCTGCACGGTGCTTCTATTCACACACACACACACTCACTCACTCACTCACTCACTCACTCACTCACTCACTCACTCACTCACTCACTCACTCACTCACTCACTCACTCACTCACTCACACACACACACATCGCTCGACTCACGTGGACGACGGGCTTTGACTTTGTGAAGTACGTCTCGACGCGCTGCGCGATGGTCTCCTCGTTGTCATCGCTGCGCCCGGACGACTGCCCGCGCTTCAGGCACCGGTCCTTCATCACCTCCGCCGGCACGTCAAAGTACAACGCAAAGTTGCAGTCCCGCTCAAACTGCACAACAGGTTGCGTCCATGTACGCATGTGTGTGAGCGTACTTTTGAGGAAGGGAACAGCGCCGAGCCAGCCATGTTGGCGTCACGCTCGCACGCACACAAACTACCCCACACTCCCATCCCTACCCCACACTCCCATCCCCACACTCCCATCCCCCACTCCCTACTCCCTCACTGACCTTCTTCTTAAAGTCGTGGACTTGGCTGATTTCGCGCGGGAACCCGTCCAGGAGGACCTTGATGTCGCTTCCGCTCGCGGCCACGAGGCTCTCCATGGCATCCGCCAGGATCTCCAGCGTCAGCTCTGTCGGGATGAGCTTGCCCTCCTTCATGATCTCCTTGACCTTCTCCGCGCGTGGGCTGTCCTTCTTCACCTCATCACGGAACAGGTCGCCAGTGGACACGTGCTTGAAGCCAAACTCCTCCGCAATCTTGGCGCACTGCGTTCCCTTCCCAGAGCCAGGTCCGCCTGCAGTGTTGGGGAAGAGAGGTGGAGGAAGATGAGAGAGACGGAGATGGAATGAGGGAGGGTGAGACGTGATGTGTGAGCTGGAAGATGCAGACGCGCACGGCACACACACACACACATTACACACACAAATCACACCTCACCAAGCACAAATACGATGAAGACGTTGGCAGTCTGGCTTTGCGAGGGCGCAGAAGAAGGCTGTTGCTGTTGTTGTTGCTCCTGCTGCTGCTGCCCTCCTCCTTGTTCCTTGGACACGGCCGTTGCCTTGGACCCGTTGCACCCCATCCTGTTGCTTGCTTGCTTGCTTGCTTGTCTTGTCTCAGTTTGCGTTCAAACTTGCGTTGGTGTGAATGGTGTGCATCTTTGTTGGCAAGCAGGCGACGAAGCAAGACGTGTTGACGATTTCGTGCAATTCCACAAAACATCCAACCAACCTCGCTTATCAAGAGAGACACAGACAACACTGCTTATCGCTCCTCGTGCACCAACCAACGCACACACCACCCCACACAGAGCGCCATGTCCATGTCGAGAGTGCAGCACGTGCTTCGCCGAATGGCTTCGTCGTCCACGGCAGCAGCAACCGCAGCAACAACCACAACAACCACAACCGCAACGACAGCATCGGCGGCGGCAGCGACTGGCGCGCACAAGCTGCACGCGGTGCGCTTGGTGCGCAGCCCAATCGGTCACCCACAGGCCTTGCGCGACACGCTGAGCTTACTGGAGCTGAAGCGTGTGAACAGCGTCGTCATTCACAAGAACACGCCCGTGGTCAACGGCATGTTGAACAAGGTCATCCACCTCGTCGACGTGCAGCCGGTACAGTACCGACCGGACGTCAAGACGGCGGACGGAAAGCCCTTTGTCACCCCAGATGGCGTCGTCCTTGGCGCTTCAGAGGAAGACTTCCTCAAGTCCCTCAAGTAATGGCAACCAAGAAGTTATCCGGTACGCATGCGTGTTTGTGTGTTCGTGTATCTGTGTCTGTGTCCGTGTCTGTGGTTGTGTGTGTGCGTGTGTGTGTGTTCGTGTGTGTGTGTCTATCTATGTATACGTGGTCGTGCATGTTCATGTCATTGCCAACAAGTGTGTATGGCGACACCCCTCACCCTCACCCGTTCTCTCACGCGTGCACTCCCGCCTACACGTGTCGCAGGGAGGCAACTGTATACATGACAAGCAGGACAGAAGAGAGAGAGAGAGAGTGAGTGTGTGTGTGTGTGTGTGTGTGTGTGTGTGTGTGTGCGCTGTGCTTAGGTTCACGGGTTCGTGTGCCTTGGTTTGTGTGCACGCCGCACATGCGTGATGAACAAGAGAATAAACATTCATATCAACCACCGTCCCGTGTATTGTCATGTCAAGCAAGCAACCACCCCACACACAAACCATTTCACACCACCTTCACCACCACCACCAACAACAACAATGACTGTGAGTGCGTTGATTGTGCTCACCGTGATCAGTGCGGCTGTTGTTTCTAAAGCAGGCAGTGCACAGGACGTGCAACTCTCCCACACACACGACTGCGACGTGTGCGAGGTGCGTGCAAGGGATGCTCTGAAGGTTGCGCGTTGCTTTGGCGCGTTCTTGCCCCGTGGCATCGCTCACGGTGGTCACTCTGTGACAGGCGGTAGCCATGCAGTTGGAGGCTGCGCTATCGAGGGAGCTGGAAGCGCGTGCGCACCGCCCGTTAACCGAGACGGCGCTGTTGGACTACTTCGACGGCTTCTGCCAGGACGCCAACCCCGCCTTTCAGCAGTACGGCCTCACGCAAGTCGCGGGCATTCCTTTGGTGTGTTCCACATGCGTACACGCGCGCGAAAAGGAAACAGCGTCTAGGTGGAGATGCAAAACCTGCTTGCAACTCGCTCGCCTTCCCGCCACCAACGTGTGCCATGTTCCCTAACAACTGCCTGCAGTTCACGGGACCTGGCCTGCCCGGATTCAACGCCAGCACGACCTTCATCACAGAAGACACACAGGTGTGTTTATTTGTCTGGCTGGCTGGCTCTGGCTTGCATGACAACCACCACACCATCTCACCACACATGACAACCACCCATCTCACCACACATGACAACCACCACCACACACACACGCACACACACACACACACACACACACGCACGTATGCACAACCCGGATCACACTTCACCAGCCTTGCGTGTGCGCACGTGTGCCAGCTCCTCCTCCGTCGGCGCGGGAAGAAACCAGCGAATCCACTCATCATCATCACCATCACCATCACCATCACCATCACCAGTGACACCACTAACTGCATTTCCCCTCACTTTTCCATGGCCCACACGCACACCACTCCTCTCTCTTCCTCGTCCCCCTGCTCCCCTGCTCCCCACTGCCACAGCTACAGGTGCTCTTGATCGCACCTGTGCACGTCCCCTGCCACCATCTCCCTTCTTTCCTTGCACCGTGTCCCTGCCCCGCTGTTTCGCCCTCGCCGACTTGTGCACCGGCAGACGCGACGGCGACTGAAGCAACCGCTCCCTGTCACGCCGCTGCTGTTGTTGTTGCTGCTGTGGTCGTGATCGTGGTTGCGTGGTCCCCTGTGCCTGGCCATGCACGTGTTGCGTTGTCTGCTGCGCCTGCGTTGTCTGCTGTGTCTGCTGCTGTGGTGAGGACTGGGCGCTGCGCGGAAGGCGGCTCGACCCCGATCACACCTTGCACCTCCACCACTGTCATCAACACCGACAACAGCTACTGCCGTCGCGACTGGGGCCTCCACCGCCCGCACACGCTCGGACCCGAGCACTCCACACCACCATCACCACCACAGCCACAACCACAGCCACAGGTACCGGAGCAGGCGCGGGCAAACGCGGCAGAACACGAGCGGCTATTGCGACAGCAGCGAGAGGTGGAGATGGAGGAGAGAAGACGACAACAAGAGCAACAAGAGCAACAACAGCAACAGCAACAGCGTAAGCAGCGGCCAGTGCAGATTCCACAACATGTGCTCAGACGCATGCAGGGCGGCGAGCTGTGATCGTGGTTATGACGTAACGTGGCGATGTGCAATGACACTCGTTGTGTGAACGTCCCCTTCCGGCCACACACCTCGAGTAAACTATTGCAGCTCCAACATGATTGACTGATGTGAAGCACGCAACCTCAGTGTGTATTGGAGACTAAGAGACAGCACACACCACACATCACATGCACACACTCAAACAATCACCACGCGCTCCACCTCTCTTCCTTCACACAACCATCTCTCTAACTCTCCCCCCCCCCCATACACACACACACACAAGCACACCAAACAACATCCTCCGTGGTGCATTAGGGCAGGCGATCCCTGCGGCGGCGGGCAACGTCCCAGTTGTACACGCGGGCCATGTTGACCTCCATCGTGGTCTGCTGGTCGCGCACGTAGTCGAGTGACTCGAGCGTCACCTTCAGCTTGCTCTCCGCCTGCTCAATGTGCGACTGCAGGATGGTCTTGGCCTCGGCCACATCATACTCAAGCATCACGTTGGCCTGGAGGGTAGGGGGGGGGGGCGTTGAAAAGAAAGAAGGGGGTGAGCGATGCAAGGGAAGGAGGGACGTACATTGCATATCAAAGCAAGCGGGAGAGCAAGCACGCATGATAGACACGCGTACGAAAGATAGTCACATGTACACAGGGTAGACAGTGGCACAAACGACAGACACCTACACACGAACGACAACCGTATGCATGAACACCCACACCACACACACACACACACACACACACACACACACACACACACACACACACATACGCATCCGCACCACACACATACGCATCCGCACCACACATTCGAATCCCACCTCTCCCCTGTATACGTACCCCGAGCCAGAGGCAGACTTTGGAGGTGTCTGTAATCTTGGCGCCGACGTGAGCGTTGTCGGTCAAGGAGAACGTCGTCTTGAGCTCCTCCCCACCGTCCTGCAATCCATGAAAGCACACAAGCGTAAGCACGATGATGAACAAACAGTCCACAACACAACAGCATTTCAAACAATACCCGCGACACAACACACGTACGTTGGCCTTCTCGACGTGTGATACGGCCGCGAGCGTCGACTTGAGATCGGGAAGACGTGCCTCCAGCCTTTACAACGGGAAAAGACGGTGCATGCAATGTGACACCAAGAAGATGAGTGTACACTACACACGCGCGCACACATTTACACACACAATGACACACACAAACACACGTGTTCACACACACACGCACAATGACACACACACACATCCTCCCTTCCCCCCCCCCCCACCACCACCACACACGCACTTTTGCCGCTGGCTTTCGAGGGTGGCCTCGATCATCTTGTAGCGGCTGTACATGTGGTCCAGCACACGAAGCGCCTCCTCCGCTGTCTTTCCAAACTGCTCCTTCTTCATCACGGCCTCCACGTCCTCGATGAACGGCGCTCGGCGGATCCCGTTGAGCTGGTCCTGGGCGCCATCACCGCCACTGCTGCTGCTGCTGCTGCTGCTCGCCGCCTTGCTGGACATTGTGCTTGCTTGCTCGCTTGCTTGCTTGTCGTGTTGTTGAACGTTGGTTGGTTGTCGTGTGTGGTTTGTGTGTTGTGGGAGGTGGCATACTACAAATAGCACAACGGCATAGAAACAAGCCTTCGATACAAACCAAACCACAAAAGCACTCAACGTTGACAACAAGCAAGCAAGCAGCTAAACAGCACCACACACCACTCAAGCAGCAGCCATGGCAGAGACGATTGACGGCAAGAAGGAGGAGTACCGCAACTACCTCGAGTCCAGCGGCGTGATTGACTCCATCACAAAGGGTACGCGTGTGTGTCTGTGTGTGGCTGGCTGTGTTTGTTGGTGTTTGTTGTGTGTGTATGTGTCGGTTCAGCTGTTTGTTGGTGTTTGTTGTGTGTGTATGTGTCGGTTCAGCTGTTGCGATCTTGCATTCACCACCCCTCCACCACACACTACCGCAACACCCCTCCCCACGCACCCACCTCACCACCTCTCCACTGCATCACCTACAGTGCTCATTGGTCTGTATGAGGAGAGCGAAAAGCCGGAGAACCCGCTCGAGTTTATCCAGCAGCACCTCGCCGCCAGCATCGACGGCGCATCAGACATTGAGGCGCTCAAGAAGGAAAACGAGGAGCTCAAGGCGCGCGTCGAGGAGGTGTGTTTATGTGGGTGGGGGAGGATGTGTGTGGACGTCTCTCTGTGTCTGTGTGTGGGTGTGTCTCTCTGTATCTCTGTTTCTTTGCCTCTCTGTGTCTCTGTCCATGCACTCGTGCTTGAGCATGTTTGTCGTCAACTCTCGTCCCCCCCCCTTCCTTTCCTGCTCGGCTCAACTTACACATGGCTCATCTCCGCCTCCTCTTCTCTCCTGGCCTAGAACAGCTGATGGGAGAAAAACAATGAGCTGAAAAGAATGGTTGAGGGCACCGAGGGCGAGCAAGACAGCTAAATGTCCAGCGCTGTGTTGTATCGCTGTTGTCGTTGATGTTGATGCTGTGCCATACCTCTTGTGTTGTCTCTTGTCAAGTGTTTCTTTCCTTTGTCTTTGCCGT